CAACACACACAAACCCCAATGTACTCCTTTCTATTCTATGTTCTACCTATGCAGGTTTTGCTCTCCCACTTCCTGATAACATCTTTCTTTTCCTTTTTTCCCATCGCCAGTCGTAGAAATCGAAGCCAATCAGAAAGTGGCTGTTGTTAATGGAGCGTCTAAACTGAAAAATTCATCCATCAAATGGGTGCTGTGTCGTTCACTTTACTCAGCCGGTACGTTTACCATAATTTTGAAGTCTCGAGAAAACAAACAACACATTATTATATTGCTCTTTGTCATTGCTACAAGTGCAGTGCAAGTCGTGAAAACAACATCATCATCTTCGGCCTTGCCATCTATTTCTCCTCCTGTATATCTTTTGTCTACCAGAAAAATAGCTTGACCCTTCTTCGAAACATACGATAGGGAATTTCAGAACTATAGTATTTTGTCTAATAATTAGCCAAACTAGCGCTTGTTTTCAAAGTCGTAGTGCGAACAGTAAATTGTTATAAACACACATTTGCTCGTCTCTAATTTTATTTTCATTATTATATTTTTTCTAATCACGACCTTCCCTCTTCAAGACTTGCGCAACCAGTTGTGAGTGGTTGGAGGGTGCACTGGAGCGGTTTGCTCTTTCTTTCCTATCAAACATTTATCATCCTTATGTCTCGTCCTTTTCAATGTACGTTACTCTCTGGTAAAAGCTCTATCTTCGGCAATTATATGACCTTTTTCTCCCAGGTATTATATGACCTATTTGTTTTGCAAGTGCCGTTGAACTCTCAATACGACTAAAGCTAAGCGTACTCATTCAAGATTTCGAAAAGACTAAAGAATAATGCTGTCTACGCTAGTTTGCTACCCCAGAATTATGAAGTTCTACCTTCTCAGTACCTAGTTTTGAGAAATTCGACGTCAAAGATTTTTAGTTGCAAATCATTTCAAGCTTTTTCGAATGTAATTCTTTGAACATCGTGACAACGACTCCGAATAATCTTACGAATTTGATAGAGCTAATAGAACATTTGGTTTCTGATCTCATCGTCTCAGTAACTCAAATCATATCCTTCTCGTAGCTACGCCCAGTCCACATTTCGTTCGAAACCGCAGTCAGTGGGAGGTTGGCGTGTGCTCTGGTTTGGTTCGTTCCTTCTTTCCAATCAAACGCCTTTTGTCCTTAACTCGTCTCCTTCTTTTTTGTGTTTACCACTCTCTTGTAACACTTCAGCACTTCGGTACTTAAAAGTATAACCTAACTGTGTTGCAAATGCCGTAAAGCGCTTTACTAAAACGAAACCACTGTCTTGCGATCTCTGCCTCCCCTCACTCTCCCGTATCCCCTCTCTCCCTTTTCTCTCCCTTTTCTCTCTCTTTCCCCCTTCTTCTCACAAACTTTAACACTCCCCCCCCCCCCCCAGATATTGTTACGCCAACAGCTGCCCAGTCCAGGGCCTATGTCGTCCCCACGTTCCTCATACCGAAGGGCCGAAAAGTAATTCAAACATCTCACGTGCTCGTGTCTGCCCTGGAGAGCGACACTACGTTTGAAATCAAAGGATCCACGAACTACTACAGAGGTTACATACCCTTTAAAGGCGGTTCCCATAATGTAAGAATGTTCTTAGTTCTTGTGTCGTTGCTTGAGTCAGTGCTTGAGTCGTCGCTAGAGATTGGCCATTTGAGTTTTCCTTTCTCATAAACTGATTTTAAGATGAGCCTTCGATTCTAATATATACAGAGTTGCAAAAGTTCTGTCACACCCATTTTTACTACGATGAATTTCGCAACAGCGTAAGAATTGCTGCAAAAAAGAAAAAGTATGACTTGTGTGACTTATAAGACTCCAAGTGCATGAGCAGACAAAAGAAAACATAAACCAGACGTAGTACGAGAGCTAAGTGTTGGTTTGGATTTCTTACGGTGTAGGTTGCAATCAATGCATCCTATACACAAAATTTGCATTAAATCACGCAGACAATGTGTAAACACACTTTATGCACTATAACATTTCGTGATTTTTAACAGTTTGGTCATTTTTTCTCCTGTTTTCAAAATAGCAAAATGGACAAATGCAGAAAATGAACGAGCTGTGTGTATGATAAATTCTTCAATTGCGCTTTCTTCTGTTGCAAGACACGTAAATGTGTGCAGCAGGCCCATCTAACGTTTGAACAAGTGTTTTATCATCAATAAAACTGTCCAAGACAAGCCTAGACATGGCCAACCAAGGGCGACAACTCAACGTCAGATGAGGATTATTGTCAAAACCCATGTTCGAAACCCGTTCCAACCAAGTGCATAGATTACCAGGTACATCGGACTGTCTTAAAACACCATTATTAGACATTATATGATCGTGGATTACGTGATTATCGTTCTTTATTTGGAGTCATTCTAACCCTATTTCATCGAACAAATCATCAGATTTGGGCACAATAACATCGCCGATGGATCTGAGGACATTGGTAAAGTATTCCATTCAGAAATGGTTCATGTTTTTAATTCGTCGCATTGATGAATGGAAGAGAAAAAGTAAAGAAGAGGATAGAGATTTCCCAAAGCCAACGTCCCCAAAGTAGACGGATCTGGTGCCTGAAATGTTATGATGTGGGGATGAATTCTCTGCTCTTTATCGTTCACATTTGGTCACTTTTCAAAGCAACATCAAAGGACGAAATTCTTCGTCACGTTGACTGCCCAATATATCACGATTGATGGAATGTGCTAACTTATGACAAGACAACACCCGACCCCATGCGGCCATGATACGCCCAAAGTCCTTCTAAACTCATCAAATCATTGATCTAGACTGGCCTGCAACTACTGCAAGATTAACAAGCCTTAACCCAACAGAACATCTGTAAGATGACCTTGACGGGAGGATTAGAAACAGGCTGCACTCTGTACAAACATGTCAGGAACTGAAGGGTGCACTTCCCAAGGAATCGCAGGGGATTCCTCAGGCAACCACAAGGACATTAATTCAGTCAGACATTTTGTATCAGTAAATCAAGCTGGAAGAGGCCACACACAATACTGAACGAACTTTGATTTGGATTTTCCCACGGTCAATGTGTATAAAAAAATTTCGCCCTTGAATAAGGAATAACATTGGTCAATTCTTTTAATGTCATGTTTGCAGAAAATGAATAAAGATCACGTGTACCATATTTTTCATGTCGAATAGTAAATGAGTTATGGTACTTTTAAAGTGGGTGACACAGAACTTTTGCAACACAGCATATGAAGCGAAACATGATTTACAAGTGACAAATTATTATGTCCTCACTATACATATATTATGTTTTATGGGATTATCATAACACGTCCTTCTGAAACAGATTATTAGTATACATAACACACACACACGCACACACACACACACACACACACACACACACACACA